GCTCAATTGTTCTTCATATCCAATGGTCTATCGGTTGGATTCGCATCCATTCAGACGCTCACAGATAAGTCGACTGGTCTTAAGAAAGGCATTAAAGGAGACTTAACAACACTTCGGCCAACAATCATGACAGCGGTTCCTCTCATTTTGGACAGAATTCAAAACGCTATCGAAAGCACTATTAATAAGAGTAGATTCGCAAGAATTTTCTTCGCTATCTTTTTCTCTCAGAAGAAATTCTGGAGTTATTATGGTTTAGACACGCCTTTAATTAACCTAATATTTTGCCGTAAATTCAAAGCAGCGTTAGGGGGAAGAGTCAAAATCATAGCCTGTGGCGGAGCACCTCTTTCACCAGAAACCCACCAATTTATTCGCAATTGTTTTGACTTAAAGTTATTACAGGGTATGTATGGTATCATAATTTAACTTAAATTGCTATAACAAGTGATTGGCTCATAGGCTATGGATTGACAGAAACGTCAGCCTCGGCTACTATTATGTCATTGGATGACACGAGTGTCGGGTTTGTGGGCCAACCACTCGATGGCATTCAAATCAAACTCATTGATTGGGAAGAAGGAAATTATAAAGTGACGGACAAACCAAACCCTAGGGGAGAGATTGTGATCGGCGGACACAACGTTACGAACGGTTATTATAAAAACGAAACGTTAACTAAAGAGTCGTATAAAGAAGAGAATGGAGTCAAATGGTTCCTAACCGGAGATATAGGAGAGATGTTTCCAAACGGATCTTTAAAGATAATCGACAGGAAAAAGGATATCATAAAGTTGTCAACTGGAGAGTACATCTCATTGGCTAAAGTTTGTGAACATTTAACAAAATGAAAGTTTTCTCAATTGTTTTCTATACTTAGATTGAAGCCGAGCTAAAGAAGTGTCCATTCATTGCCAATGTCTGTGTTTATGGAGATTCGAGCAAAGAATATGTGATTGCATTCATTATTCCGAATGCAAGTCATTTGAAATCATTGGCCGACAAGTTATCCAAAAGTGGATTAAGTTTCAAAGAGTTGTGTAATGACAGTGAGATCACAGCCGGTGTCTTGCAATCAATCCGTCAAATCGCCAAACATTCAAAGTTACATAAAGTGGAGATTCCCAACAAAATAAAGCTCTGTTCAGAGGAATGGCTTCCGGAGAATAATTTGGTCACTTCTGCCCTTAAGTTGAGGCGAAAAAATATTCAAGATTTTTATCAAAAAGACATTCACTTAATGTACGGAAACGAACACAAACCTTAGATCTATCAATATTTCTTTAAAACCATATTTATTCACAAAATTTTTTAGTTCAATATTTTAATTCAAACATAAATTTGTTATTCACTATAATTTAATTGATTATTCAATAAATTTAGTAGTGTTTAAGTATTAGTTTCTGATTTTATTGTTTGCTTAATGTGTAAGATCTAAAAATTTAGATTTTAAATGATGACAATTTAAATATGATATAATAGTGTTGTAGGAAATCCTTAATATTAAAACCGGTGAATTTGCTATCAATAATAACTTTTGACGTTAATATTTTACAAAGCTACATTTAAATGTATATTTTATCGTCATGTTAGGCTCAAAATATGCCATGTTTTTACTATATTAACTGACAATTAGTAAAAAATTAATCATTATTTCATACAATCCCATAAATACAGTCTAAATAAGTCACATTTAAATGTAATAATTGTGTTAACTGTAAAACATATTAAACGATATTTAAACAGATTTCAGATTCAACAAACAATTTCACAAATGATTTTTTTATGGTAAAATATTTATTTTAAATATTTAACATTTAAATATATTTTTACATTGAAAATTCACACTTTTAGGAATATTGCCAATATATACATAATTGAATGCATACCTAAAATATTTAATCAATAAATATTTGTAACATAAATTACTTTAAAGATTTAATAATTAAAATAATATGCTAATAGAAATCTTAAACATACTGTATAAGCATTTTAATGACATTTATATTGATTTGTGTGTGAATTAAAAGGAATAATTGTTAATAGAGTAGACGAACACAAATACAGTAACTTGTGAGAGGATAATGGAAGTCATGTATGGATGCAATCATTACAGTATAACTAAAACATTAATTTTTGCATCACTACTGAAACGCGAGTAAAAGTTGTGAAACTAGTTTTGGAAACAAGTTTTCAATCAAATAAAGTTTCAGTTTTCATTTGGTTGGAGTTGTATAGTGTGGACAATGACCTTGAATACA